CTATCAGAATCTAATCTGTATTCTCATACGGGCTGAACAATCGGATCAATCGTGATTAATCGATTATTGAAATATAAGTCTAATAATTTGGTGTTCGATTAATCATTTAACTTGAATATTAAGACTTGGAAACATGCCTTTAGCTGACACAGCAACCTTCTTAGAGCAGTAATTATATCACAATTGTTAAAAAGTACCGTATATAAACATTTTGCATTTAACATAAAAAATGTTGTTGTCTGTCAATATGCTCTATTTAGAACCTCTCAAGTGGAAAAGCCGCTTTACTTATGCAAAAAATCTTCTTTAATGAACCTTTTGCTATCTAATTATTAATTGAGAACTCAAAAAATAATCAACAGATTAATCCATTTGCAAAATAATTGTCAGTTGCAGCCTTCATTTTCATATTTTTTCATTCACAGGTTTAGATTTGAATACTTTCCTAATGGACTCATATCTCATGGATCCACCAAATTAATCATAGCTGAATTATTTCTGATATGTCTAAATTTTAATTAAATTGGAAATATATATCTTAACTAGATATTTGAATGATCAATCAGTGTAGTATAAAAATTAGGGAAACTAATAACAAATTGAATATATGCTCTATATAAGTACATGGTATTCATGATTTGAATCATATTTATTAAATTAATGCTTAAAGAGTACATTTTATGTAGTTTTCTCTGCTAAAACATATAATAAAAGTCAGCTGCAGATTGCCTAACAAATCCAAATCAGGATAAGTGATTTTATTGTAGCAAGAAGGAGTTTTGATTTGTTAAGAGAGATAAAATACATCAGTGGCGTCTTTGGCACATGGCTATGAAATAAAGATGTGTATTCAGTAATAACTAAAAATAAAATGTAAATACATATTTCTATTAATTTATTTAGGATTCAATTATTTTTATCAATTTGATGCTTTATTCAGCTCAAGTCACGCATTTTACCAATATATATATATATATGTTACTTTATAACCTGTTGATCTTGGGGCACTTTTGGCTCGTCATACATCAAATTTATAGATTTCTGCTTGTGTTTCAGTTTGAGCACAAAATATTACGGTTCAAGCCTTTTAGGAGTTGAGGTTCTGCAGCTGGATCTTACTTTTATCCACAGCCGCTCACCTCCAGGCTGCACCCTACGTTTGCTTTCCATGGTTATTATTTTGTTTCATTTGTTTAAAAAAATGTTTTTTTTTTTATTAAACTTGTGTAACATTAGTCATTATTGTATAATTTTTATCACGTAAACAAAGGAAGAAAAAAAAGCAATATTGGCTCCCAAAAAATTGTTAGCACATATCGGGTTTAGGTTAGACTGATGTCATAATAATTTGTTGTAGTCATATCAGTTTGGAGCAAATTAGAAGTGGAATGGCCTCTGAATCTTGGTTTATGGTTTTGAGAATTTCAGCACCCAACACCTAGGAAAATGTGTAACTCTGTGGACAGATCCATGCGGAAAACATGGTGAGCGAGCAGCAGCTCCTAATGATGAGGTTTGGCAAATGTAAACATTTAGACATTCAGTCATTTAGTGCCATTTTTAACAGATTGTGGAAAAACTCTTGAAAAGAAAAGAGTTTGCTCATGGATGGCATGGCTCTGGAGCTAGCCAGCATGGTGAAGAGGCCGCAGAGACACTGTGACAGGCAAACACATTTTCTGCCTATTGGACTGGTTCTAACTAATCAGCAAAGGTTAAAAAGAGGTCCTTAACAGAACCTTCTAGTTTGTAATGATCAGGGCGGAGACACAGCCTGGGAACTAATAGCAGGCGGTAACGCCTGCTTCAGGTAGCATCATGGAGCCTCTGTCTGACCCAAAAACACAGAGAAAGATTCTGCCTGCGTTTAAAATCTGTCTCTCGCTGCAGCTCTTTAGATGCCGGGCAGCTTTTTCACACCGCAGAAATCATACGATCTACAGAAACTACATTAATAGGCTACAATATACATGAAATATTCAGTTCTACATTATGGGGAAAAAGTTTGCTTGCCTCTAAAAAAAAAAAAAGCAGCTTTAAATGAAGCATGAATTAGACTTAAATGCTGATGATGACAGCGGATTCTACTTCCTGTGTGATGTGTCTGTGTAACATGGTGGATAATCTGTATAAAAAGCCTACATTGGGAGAAGAAGTGCAATAGGAATCATATCTTCTTAGGTGCGTTTCTATTTACTCAGGTGGTCGAGTCTACGTATGGGAAGCAAACAATGAAACAGGTTAAAAATATTGATTACTTCAAGCAATGTATTAAGTTTTAAGAATTACGGCTTAAAGCAAATGAAAACCCACAATTCAACATTTCAGGAAGTACATGATATGAAAAAAAATAACAACAAATAGACAAAACAGCCAGGGGTGAAAAGTGAAAAGTTGCATTTCACTTAGAAATCCAAGCCTGGGTGAAGAATAAAAAGGGTTCCTAAAAGTAGCACCAATTGCTGCTTTAATAACCAAGGCACCACTGCACTGCGTTGGCAACTAAACCTGTTTGTTTTTTTTCTTTCTACACTTTCATATTCACTGAAAGAGTTTCTGGGTGAACTCCCAGGGATTTGTTAACGACAAAACCACAGTCTGTCACGCTCCTGCTCACCTCAAACAGATCTTCCTTGTTGCCCTCATAGCTCTCTTCCAGGGAACGATTTACCCTCTAAGCGATGAGTCGCAGCGCTTCGCCCTCGTCTGTGCCTGTCGCCGTTGATGCAGAGCAGCTGTGCTCACTTAGGGATAAAAACTTTTAATGAGTGGTTCCAGCCAGCGTTAAATGACTTTCGCCTCCTCGCAGGTGTTGTATCAGGTTGGGGAGCAGCAGGATCAAACAGAAGATGGAAATACAGGAGCGAAGAGGCAATAGTGATGCTCCATAATCTAATATAAAATGCTGCAATAATAGCCAACTCACATGCCCTCCAGAATTTAGTCAGAGAGGCTTACAAAGTATTAAACAATTACTCTCTGAGCAGATCAGTCTAGTCATTTCTTTAAAGCATTCGGGTCATTTTATCTTTATATACAAATAAAAAACTAAAGATGTTTATTTTAAATAATATTACACACCATTTGTTCTTGACTCCTTTTTCTGTTTCTAAGTCATTTAAAATGGACAAATAAAGAAAGGCTTAAAGATTGATCATATAAAAAAGTGTTAATTTATTTAATTTTAATAATTTATGTTGTCAAACAGCAATGGCTTCTCAAACCTAATAATAGGACAGAAAATCTGAAAATTTAGGCTCGATTATATCCAAATGACATCGTCTTCTTTGGGTTAATAATGTGTTGTGTATGTTTTTCAAAATAATCTATGATGCCATGCAAACTTAAGGAGGTTTTCAGGCCCTTTTCATGAAAAAAGACCCACAGCATCAAATAGATTTCTATAGCATCAATTCACAACACGTCTTCTTTACAGAGATAATTCAACCAGATCATACAGTCAGATTGATTCAAAGTTTTCTATCAAAGGAAAACCAGTAGATTGCGTTGACTCTTTGACTCAAAAGCAATTCATCACACTAAAGGGTTGGTTTTACTCCCACAGCAGTGAGCTTGTTGCAGATATTTTTGATTTATGCCCACTATCGAAGCGTTGTTATTCCACACCAGGAACTAGCTGTGGGTCTGGATACGGCCGAAGCGCTGAGGAAGTGGGGGCAGGTTTGTGCAACAACGGAGGGATATGAGGGAGGAAAAGAGCGGGGATCCAGGTGGATCCAACTTCACAAGTCATTTTCCACAATGGCGGTTATACAAACAGAACAAGCCAGTAAAGTACCAAACAGGAAATACGCATGGGGTAGAGCGGATGTAGATTTGACCAATCGGAGGCCTCCTGTCTGCTGTCACCTGCAATATAGGAGAGGTGCAGCAGGGGCGGGGACATATCTACGTCAACTGCGACACAAATGCAGCCGACTTGGTTACTGAGTATAAATCAGCCTTAAGTGTGCTTGTAGCGATAGTGGAGAGGAAAAACTCCCTTTTAACAGGAAGGAACCTCCAGCAGAACCAGGCTCAGTGTGAGCGGCCATCTGCTGAGGCCGACTGGGGTTCAAGGAGACAGAAGCAGAGATACAAAATAACAGAGGGCAGAGGACAACAAAAAAAATANTTCTTCCTGTTAAAAGGGAGTTTTTTTCTCTCCACTGTCGCTACATGCATGCTTAGTGTGAGGGATTACTGAAGAGACAATGAGTCAATGCAATCAACTGGTCTTCATTAGATGGAAAAGTTTGAAACAATTTGACTGGATGATCTGGTGAGCTGTAAAGTGCTTGAGGTGACATCTGTTGTGAATTGGCGCTATATAAATGAACTGAACTGAATTGAACAAAAAGAACAAATTTAAAGGTTGGATTTTTTATGTTTTTCATTTTAATGTTATGTTTTTTTGGTAAAATATTTGTTCGCTTTTAGGCTTTTCATCTAATTTTGCTTCCTGTGCCAATATAACTCCTCTGTGATATAAAGATTTTCTAATAATAATTCATAAGATAATAACAGGTGTGTTGTAAAGGCTGCAGGCTGAACATGACTGTTTATAATATCTTTTTTGCAGGTTGTTTTTTCAACTTTCCTTTCCTGATGTGTACAAAGTTAGACAAAAAATATTTCAAACATGATGGCTCACGCTTGATCGTAAATGTAGAAGCAGATATTAGCACCACCAAGGTCCGAGACTAAGCCTTGAGTATGCTTCCCCTTCTGCCCTATTGTTTTAGACTGCAGATTTTTTTTGTTGATTTTTTTGGGGTTTTTGCGGCACTAGTGGCTCGTTTTGTCGACAGTAGGCTGACAGGAAAGGGGTATGAGAGAGAGGGAGAGACATGCGGCAAAGGATCACAAGCTGGATTCGAACCCGGGTCGGCTGCGTCAAGGACTAAGGCCTCCGTACATGGGTCGTGTGCGCTAAACACTGTGCCACCTGCACGCCCGACTGCAGATCCTTGATAAATCTCAGTTATTCTCTTCTGTTTGTTTCCAGGCTTTGATGAGAGGCTCTCCATGATGAGCAGCTAACGCCGTCAGCCGCACAACTGCAGGAAGAGACGTGGCTGCTGCTCCATCCACAGTCGACGCATGGCGGTATTAGGGGTAAGGCCTGCTCCCTTTCTCTTGGTTTTTTCACCTTCATCAGTTTCTAGCTGTAGGAAATGCCTGATTTTGCTAAATACTGTAAATGCTCCGTGATTTGATCTGAATCTTCTGAAGTCAGACCTTTCTTCTGGCTTACTGTCTAGACATTGACGCAGTTCTTTCAGTTGCAAAAGATTTCATGAGAGGTTTGAGCCTCTGAATAATAGATGCTGACTCCATCTGAATCTGATTGACTGAGAAGAACCACCCATTAGCCTCGCTGCTTGTTTCCTACCTGGTTGTTTGTCTGAAGCTGTCCATTGCTGGTCGGTTTGTTGCTCACAGATGCATAGAAATGAGTCTGCAGCTCTGCTGAAGACTTGGTTTTATATTTATTTAAAACGAAGGATGCAGAAACATCTCACTCACTTTTTAGAGGGAGAAAATATTGACTTGATGCTAGAAACCAGCTTGCTATCAGAATCTAATCTGTATTCTCATACGGGCTGAACAATCGGATCAATCGTGATTAATCGATTATTGAAATATAAGTCTAATAATTTGGTGTTCGATTAATCATTTAACTTGAATATTAAGACTTGGAAACATGCCTTTAGCTGACACAGCAACCTTCTTAGAGCAGTAATTATATCACAATTGTTAAAAAGTACCGTATATAAACATTTTGCATTTAACATAAAAAATGTTGTTGTCTGTCAATATGCTCTATTTAGAACCTCTCAAGTGGAAAAGCCGCTTTACTTATGCAAAAAATCTTCTTTAATGAACCTTTTGCTATCTAATTATTAATTGAGAACTCAAAAAATAATCAACAGATTAATCCATTTGCAAAATAATTGTCAGTTGCAGCCTTCATTTTCATATTTTTTCATTCACAGGTTTAGATTTGAATACTTTCCTAATGGACTCATATCTCATGGATCCACCAAATTAATCATAGCTGAATTATTTCTGATATGTCTAAATTTTAATTAAATTGGAAATATATATCTTAACTAGATATTTGAATGATCAATCAGTGTAGTATAAAAATTAGGGAAACTAATAACAAATTGAATATATGCTCTATATAAGTACATGGTATTCATGATTTGAATCATATTTATTAAATTAATGCTTAAAGAGTACATTTTATGTAGTTTTCTCTGCTAAAACATATAATAAAAGTCAGCTGCAGATTGCCTAACAAATCCAAATCAGGATAAGTGATTTTATTGTAGCAAGAAGGAGTTTTGATTTGTTAAGAGAGATAAAATACATCAGTGGCGTCTTTGGCACATGGCTATGAAATAAAGATGTGTATTCAGTAATAACTAAAAATAAAATGTAAATACATATTTCTATTAATTTATTTAGGATTCAATTATTTTTATCAATTTGATGCTTTATTCAGCTCAAGTCACGCATTTTACCAATATATATATATATATGTTACTTTATAACCTGTTGATCTTGGGGCACTTTTGGCTCGTCATACATCAAATTTATAGATTTCTGCTTGTGTTTCAGTTTGAGCACAAAATATTACGGTTCAAGCCTTTTAGGAGTTGAGGTTCTGCAGCTGGATCTTACTTTTATCCACAGCCGCTCACCTCCAGGCTGCACCCTACGTTTGCTTTCCATGGTTATTATTTTGTTTCATTTGTTTAAAAAAATGTTTTTTTTTTATTAAACTTGTGTAACATTAGTCATTATTGTATAATTTTTATCACGTAAACAAAGGAAGAAAAAAAGCAATATTGGCTCCCAAAAAATTGTTAGCACATATCAGGTTTAAGTTAGACTGATGTCAGAATAACTTGTAGTAGTCATATCAGTTTGGAGCAAATTAGACGTGGAATGGCCTCTGAAGCTTGGTTTATGGTTTTGAGAATTTCAGCACCCAACACCTAGGAAAATGTGTAACTCTGTGGACAGATCCACGCGGAAAACATGGCGAGCGAGCAGCAGCTCCTAATGACGAGGTTTGCCAAATGTAAAAATTTAGACATCCAGTCATTTAGCGCCATTTTTAACAGATTGTGCAAAAACTCTTGAAAAGAAAAGACTTTGCTCATGGATGGCATGGCTCTGGAGCTAGCCAGCATGGTGGAGAGGCTGCAGCACAAACACATTTTCTGCCTATTGGACTGGTTCTAACTAATCAGCAAAGGTTAAAAAGAGGTCCTTAACAGAACCTTCTAGTTTGTAATGATCAGGGCGGAGACACAGCCTGGGAACTAATAGTAGGCGGTAACGCCTGCTTCAGGTAGCATCATGGAGCCTCTGTCTGACCCAAAAACACAGAGAAAGATTCTGCCTGCGTTTAAAATCTGTCTCTCGCTGCAGCTCTTTAGATGCCGGGCAGCTTTTTCACACCGCAGAAATCATACGATCTACAGAAACTACATTAATAGGCTACAATATACATGAAATATTCAGTTCTACGTTATGGGGAAAAAGTTTGCTTGCCTCTAAAAAAAAAAAAAACAGCTTTAAACGAAGCATGAATTAGACTTAAATGCTGCTGATGACAGCAGATTCTACTTCCTGTGTGATGCACGTCTGTGTAACATGGTGGATAATCTGTATAAAAAGCCTACATTGGGAGAAGAAGTGCAATAGGAATCATATCTCCTTAGGTACGTTTCAATTTACTCAGGTGGTCGAGTCTACCTATGAGAAGCAAACAATGAAACAGGTAAAAAATATTGATTACTTCAAGCAATGTATTAAGTTTTAAGAATTACGGCTTAAAGCAAATGAAAACCCACAATTCAACATTTCAGGAAGTACATGATATGAAAAAAAATAACAACAAATAGACAAAACAGCCAGGGGTGAAAAGTGAAAAGTTGCATTTCACTTAGAAATCCAAGCCTGGGTGAAGAATAAAAAGGGTTCCTAAAAGTAGCACCAATTGCTGCTTTAATAACCAAGGCACCACTGCACTGCGTTGGCAACTAAACCTGTTTGTTTTTTTTCTTTCTACACTTTCATATTCACTGAAAGAGTTTCTGGGTGAACTCCCAGGGATTTGTTAACGACAAAACCACAGTCTGTCACGCTCCTGCTCACCTCAAACAGATCTTCCTTGTTGCCCTCATAGCTCTCTTCCAGGGAACGATTTACCCTCTAAGCGATGAGTCGCAGCGCTTCGCCCTCGTCTGTGCCTGTCGCCGTTGATGCAGAGCAGCTGTGCTCACTTAGGGATAAAAACTTTTAATGAGTGGTTCCAGCCAGCGTTAAATGACTTTCGCCTCCTCGCAGGTGTTGTATCAGGTTGGGGAGCAGCAGGATCAAACAGAAGATGGAAATACAGGAGCGAAGAGGCAATAGTGATGCTCCATAATCTAATATAAAATGCTGCAATAATAGCCAACTCACATGCCCTCCAGAATTTAGTCAGAGAGGCTTACAAAGTATTAAACAATTACTCTCTGAGCAGATCAGTCTAGTCATTTCTTTAAAGCATTCGGGTCATTTTATCTTTATATACAAATAAAAAACTAAAGATGTTTATTTTAAATAATATTACACACCATTTGTTCTTGACTCCTTTTTCTGTTTCTAAGTCATTTAAAATGGACAAATAAAGAAAGGCTTAAAGATTGATCATATAAAAATTTTTTTATTTATCACTTGACTAAATACAAAATGGAGTTTTTAGTTTATTATTGAATTCATTAGTGGAAATATCAGACATTTTAATAATTTATGTTGTAAAATAAACGGCAATGGCTTCTCAAACCTTATATCTACGTCAACTGCGACACAAATGCAGCCGGCTTGGTTTCTGAGTATAAATCAGCCTTAAGCATGCTTGTAGCGATAGTGGAGAGGAAAAACTCCCTTTTAACAGGAAGGAACCTCCAGCAGAAGCAGGCTCAGTGTGAGCGGCCATCTGCTGAGGCCGACTGGGGTTCAAGGAGACAGAAGCAGAGACACAAAAGGCAACTGTAAAAGGCGGCCCCGTCCAGGAAACACATCCAGCCAGTCACAGTCAGAGAAACAGGGCTACACTGAAAAACAGGCCGATCTCCATTATCTATAAACAAAGGTGTTGATGGCAGCAGCACAGCTGACATTTCTCTCCAGGATGGAGTCACAGCCAAATAGAAACAGAACAGATCCAGCTACTATTAGAAAAAGCAGAAAGAGTTCCTTTGTTAAGCTTAACATATATCCTTTATACCAAAAAACCTGATCTTTAAATTACCTTTTTGAAGTTTTTCATTTTGTTTTGTTTTTCTCATTGTGCTAGAAGTAACCATCAGCCTGCAGGTGCTTGTTTTGATGTTCAACACATTGATTTGTGTCCCTGTTCCCTCCAGAACCCCGACATGCTGACGAGGAAGATAAAGCTGTGTCACATCAACGCCCACATCACATGTCGTCTGTGTGAGGGCTACCTGATCGACGCCACCACCGTCACAGAGTGCTTACACACCTGTAGGTCCTTCCTTTCACACTTTCCTCTTCTGCCCCAAGCCTTCCCACCATCATAGCCTTCAAACCCATTTCCTGTTTTCAGCTCTCCTACTGCTCTTCCCCCTTACTTTTCAACTCTTATTTCTCTCATCTCATTTGTTTTTCCTCCTTGTTGCTTCCTTTTTTTATGAATAACAACCTAAAGAAGGAGCGTGTTATGGGTTTAAAGCAGAAAACCTCACGAGTTTATAAATATTTCATTATTAAATGCTGATCCAGCGTCTTGAACGTGAGGTTGGAGCACTCACACACGATCACAGAGCGTGTAATCTGTGCATTATATCTGAAAGGAAGGAGGGGTGTATTGTCGCCTCTCGTTCACACTGAGGTGCATCATTAGCTGGGTTCAGTAAAGTCTAATAACACCATCTGCTTCTTTCTACAGCTAGTTTCTGCTTTGCTGGATCAGAGCTTTAAGTTGAGAACAGAATTAAGCCTCCATGAACCAGAAGAGATCTGCATTAGTGAGATTAATAATTAGGCTAGAAATGTTGGATTTAAGTCCTCTAGAGGATAAAGATGATGGAAATAATATATTTAATTCTTCATGGGCCTGCTAAACGTGGGGCCTCATGCTTGTTTGAAAATATGCCAAAAAAGGAAATCTATTTAGATATATATTCAGGTTAAGTTTGGGGAAAACAAAAAGTAGAAAAAGGAATGTTTTGTATTTTGAGGCTTTATTCTACAACAAACATACAAACTATGTTTGTTGTTAAATCCATCACTCTGCTTAAAGCAACACAGTGTGACCTTTGACCCTAGTATTAGCTTGATTTGAGACATATCAAATACATTTTGTTGCTTATTAATGCTAAGAGCTGGTTGCTCATCTAAAAGACTCCTATGTCGTTTCAGAGTGTCGCATCCGTGACCCAGATCGCTGCTTTACGGCAGTCGGAACACCAGAGCTAGTTAAGCTAGAAGGTTTTAGGCAACAGCACAGATCTGAACCTTAACTGATCAGATCTATTTTGGTTCCTTGATGTGGGATTTAATCTAGAGAGTGATCTTTTCCTGGTCTTTAAAAATAGGAGCTCTATGACTTCTAAACCTTCTTGTCCAAAGTTGATTTTGTAAAATGTTGCCTTCAGGAGGAGAAACCGTAAGTTACAGATCAAGCACCCCCTGGTGGCTAAAAGTTACACACGAAAAAAAAAAAACTATATATATATATATATATATATATATATATATATATATATATATATATATATACTGGTATATATATATAAGTGGTGGGTATAGCTTATTTTTTAAATCTAGATTAATTTCACTGTAATCTTGGAATTAATCTAGATTAAAAGGGCTGAATTGAATTCTGCCACAGGCATACATTCAATCATCCAGATGCAAACAGAATGCTGTGGTAATGATTCATGGTGTTGTTGTAAAATTAAATTTAAAATGAAATAATAAAGCCGACTTAAAGCAAAGGACTGAGGTTCCCAGCTGGCATCGATGAGGTGTACAGTAACGCCGCGGTAGTTATCATTAATGACAGATTTCCAGTGATCCCTCATCAGTGCTAAACACGTCGCCTTGACAGACTTCTCATCTTTTGCGGCTTTCTCCGCGGTGTGCTGGTCATGTATTCTCCTCATCATAGTTCGCCTAGCAGTTGGTTTATAAGACGGGTCACCTGTGGCTGTCTGGAGAACGACCTCGAGCCCAACATCTTCAACCACGATGATGGCGGCAGCTGGTGGCATTCCACTGAGAAAGTAGATTAGTTAGCTTGGCTGACAGAGCTGTGTTTGCCTCGGTTGCACTCAAATACTGTAGTTTGACAAACACGACTCTTCCCCTGCGCTATAACAGTGCTTCTCCCGACTTCCACATTGGAGATGAAAATATCAAGTTGAAAGTCATCATAGCGTACTTACTATAGACCCAGCGTTCAACCCAACTTTGAAAAAAGATTAAAAGCGATATTTTTTTTATTGCAAGATAAGAGTCTGGCGTTAACGCAGGACTTTAACGGTGATAATGGACCACCACATATTAATGTGTTGTATTTTCTAAAATACAAAACCTTTCTTGGGCCAGGTAGAGGAAACAAATACAAGATGCTAAAAACTAAAACTAAAGTAGAAACAAAACGGGACAGATACCGCTAGTCACTGAAAATTCTATTAGAAAATATTATATTCATCCCAAAGGATTGTCAGTAAATAAAAACAAATGAAGAAATAGACTCCTGGACTAATAAAGAATCAAAAAAATAATTGCGCAGCCATGAGATACTGTACACTGCTAAAGATAGCACGAGGCTACGTTCACACTCCAGGCCTTGATGCTCAATTCCGATATTTTTGTGAAATCCGATTTTTTTTTGTGTTGCTGTTCACATTTCCAAATATATGCGACTTGTATGTGATCTCCTGTGTGAACTGCAGTCATACAACCTAAGTGTCCCACATGCACAGTAGAGAACACAATGACGAAGTAAACATTGATGGTAGTGCTGGAGCGCATTAGTGATCTTTGCCAACCTTAAAAACACAATCTTTTCAAGAGGGTTAAACATAAATACTGCTCTCCTCACCATTGTTGTTGTTTTTCTTGCCACTTCTTTGTAGCAAGAAGCAGAAGAGTGACCTTTGTCGGGTATTAATGGCATTAAGGTCGGATAGATGCGACCTGGACGTTCAGACACAGGTCGCATTTAAAAAGTTGAGATTCGTATCTTATTCAGGACCACATAGCCAAGCGGCCTGGGTCGCATTTGAAAAAATCGGATCTGTGTTGTTCAGCCTGCCATGAAAAGATCGGATCCAGGTCGCATATGGGCCAAAAAATCTGATTTGGGTCTCTTCAGGCTGCAGTGTGAATGTAGCCTTAGAGGGGACCTTATTTTCTAAACTTTGCCCCTTTTCAGATTCCTGAATATTTTCTAGGATGTTTTTTTTTAATGCTTTACCACTCCCTGATTCATTTAGGGTCCATTTGTCATGCCTGCCTCTTAGTGCCTCTGTAAAATAGGTTTTAAAGCTGATCTTCTTCTTGGTTTCATCACTTCAAAACTTCCTGTGTTACCAGTAAAGGCCTCGTTTCTCCTACAGACTCGGTTGAAAAGAAATCAATCCTCTGCTGGTTAAATGTCTGTAGTTAACCAGCAGAGGAAGCAGTCTGTGCTCTGATCCCTATGGGGTCACAGAGTTTACAAGGCTACGTCCTGTTTACTTCTTCTGCAAACCTAAGTGCCCTTTAAAGCTCATATGAGAGCTGAGTGAGCGTACAGACCTCAGCAAACAGTATGCTGACACAAAGCTGATAATTATCCTGCTGAAAGTCGGCACAGTTTTTAGCTTTAAGCTTCTTTTAGCAGTGAAGCAGAATCAGTCATAAAAAACTTGTTTCACTGCTTGATGTTTGCAAAATTAAAAAACAACTTAAAGGTTGTAGAAGAACTCAGAAAAACTGTCTTGAATGTAAACAAAAATGAACAGGGTGCTTTACCTTGTGTGTCCACCAGAGGGAGCCTGTTTACCACACATCAGAGCCTTTTCACCCGCTTCTATCCCTCCAGTCCAGACATGAGGTTTTGATTCTGCCTCCCAGCGTGAGTAGGGGGCCTCCAAAGGCGGAGAGCCGAGACAACAAAGACATTGGCATCACGTCATCAGTGCAGCTGCGCCGCTGCAATAAAAATGTCAAGTAGAGATGGATTTCACGGCACACCGGGTGCTGCAAATTACATTCCAGGGTTATACAATACATTTATTGTACCAACAAAAGGTGGCTGTAGTTGAAAGAAGAATTCCCTTTAAGTCTAAATGTAATTTAAGGGATATGTACCTTCATCTGAAGTCGCTTTATGGTTTGGGGAGGATTTGTTCTGTCGGCTGCTTCATGCACTTTTCCTTTATTTTATTGCTTCTTTATTTTCATTTGTACTGATGTGTTTAACCCTGAAGAGACAGTTTGAATGACCATATCAGCAGACTCCTTGTTTTTTGTTGTTGCTCCAGCCTGTTTAAACTGTTTGACAATATGTTTTTGTCTTTTAAACAGATGCATAAACCTAAACACAAAACCTTCAGGTAGATGATTTAGGATTATTGTTTTAGCCAAATGAAAAGCAGCTGTAAGTCTTTAGAAACACCTCGTCATTTAGATGCAAAACCCCAGACGAGTTTCAGGTTCACAAAGACGAGACGGTAATGGAAGATGCATGCTCTAATGGTTTGTGTCCACTGTGTCTGTCTGCAGTCTGCAGAAGCTGCCTTGTAAAGTATCTGGAGGAGAACAACACGTGCCCCACGTGTAGGATTGTTATTCATCAGAGCCATCCACTGCAGTACATCGGGTGAGTGGGGGGGGCCGCCGCAGAACACAAGCACACACACAGTCAGCAATCAGGAGCACCCTGCCACTAACACGATAAAGTGGCGAGGACCGTGGAGCCGATGGATCCTTTTTATTCCTGCTCTCCTGCAGGAAGCGGCAGCTCGGCCCTGAGCTGCTGAGGCGCTCTGTGTGTTTTTCTAATAGATGATGCATCTAACCCAGGGGTGGGCAATTCCAGTTCCTGGGGGCCGGTATCCTGCAACTTTTAGATCCATCCTTGGTACAACACACCTGAATTAAATGGCTGAGTTACCTCCTCAGTATGCAGTCGGTTCTTGCAGAGTCCTCCCAATTATCTGATTACATTATTCAGGTGTGTTGAACCAAAGGCACATCTAAAAGGTGCAGGATACCGGCCCCCAGGAACTGGAATTGCCCACCCCTGATCTAACCCAAGCTCAACACAACCTCGCTCTACAGAAACAGTTCAGCGCTCTGCCGTGGAATGATGATCCTCCACTTATAATGCTGCTCATTTGGTCTTTCAGCACAAATACAGCCTCTTGTTATCTTATTAGAGGGAATTCCTGTGCTATTTCCTTCCTTCCTTCCTTCCGTCCGTCCGTCCTTCCTTCCTTCCTTCCTTCCTTCCTTCCTTCCTTCCTTCCTTCCTTCCTTCCTTCC